CCCACAAAAGCCAAAAAAAAAACCACCCCAAAACACAAACAGGAGACAAAACGATTCAAACCCAGCCCATGCGCATTTTAGGTCACAGTTGAAATTACCTTGCTCTTGTACTTCTGGTGCCCCAACCGGAACTTCACGTAAGGATCACTTAGTCCATTTGCATCCATCGCCTTGAGTTCACGACCTTCTATTAGAGTTACACTAACTATTCCTCTCCACAGCTGAGATTTTCTGTGCAGGTCTGAGAGACGTAAGCTCTGGGTCTGAAGTTTTGGGGAAGTAAAACCACAGATTTAGTTAATGCAATTCCAAAAATTTCCTCTGCATTTTCATGTTCAATTTCATACAACTATGAGTGTAAACCAGACGTCTTAAGACATTTTTGAGTTATTTGACAGTCCATACGTAAACTTCATTACAGAGAATTTCTTGGAGAGAAACAGAACAGTGACAAATACGCAGGTAATGTCATATGCTGCTTGTGCAGAAGCAAGCAGAACAAATGCTACTTGAGGAAATGTTTGGAGAAAAAAAAGTGTTTTTTCCTACTTAACTTCTGTTGATAGAACTAACCACATTACAAGCAAACGTTAGAAAGTCTCTTCTGTCAGTAGCATATGAGTAAACGAACTTGAACAAACGCTAAAATAAACACAAAGAACAGTGAGAAAATGAAACTTCCATTAAAATAATAGAAACCCACCATGAGAAGCATGGACCAAGGAAAAATAAGTCAATAAACTCCCGTGCAAATGACAACTATCTCGGTCTCTAAAACAATGCGGCATTCTCAGAAACACCATGGAAAACTGAATTAAATACCAGAACATCTGTTCAACAGTTTCAAAACGACACATTGCAGAGCCTCTGATTGGAACTGAGTGGAAACTTGTGGTCTGTGAACACTCAGTTGCCGTCTTTGAGGGTTAAAAGGCAATTCACACACACCCACACAAACCAGACAGCCACAGCCTTTGTCAATGAACTTCACTGGGGACAGGAGAACAGGGAGATGATAAATCTGAGTGATTTAAGATGAGGTCCAGCTTGCTCCGAGATAGAAGGTACTGCCAGGTGGCTCCAGAACTGCGACACCACCTCTGCATGCCTGGCGCAGGCACACGTGTCTCGGGTGCACCTGAGCAGAACGGCTGCCAAAGCCCCTCTCTTCTGAACTTGTATTCATTCAAGGTTACCTTACCTCAAATCACAACACTCGATACATAACAACATTTAAACTCACAAATTATTCTTTCTAGGAATCAAAAAAGGCAAGTCTACAGACATACTCAGCTGTAAATACATAAAATACATGCCTTTTCTTTATTGTGCAATGTAGTTGAGCAACAAAGGCATTAAGGGCTGCTGCTCATCACGTGCACACCTCCAGTACCTCTGTTAGAGGTTTTCCATGCAAATTTAGTTTGAGCTTTTCAGAGGGCAAACCCAGCTGGATGTTTACAGCTATGTGAGCGCCCAAGGCAGGAGTTCTACTCTATTACCAGGGAAGATTATAGAAACCACACTGGATTATAGCCTGCACTCACCAGACCACAGAGAGAACCAAGGACTGAGGCCACTGGGGCTGGAGCAAATCTGAGTAACATGCTATTAGCAATATTTCAGATATCATGTTGGCATGTATTTGTGTTTTCTAATGGCTATTCATTCCAATCAATGTGGTCACTCCCAAAGTACTTCACCATATTTATTAAAAACTTCTCTTTTTGAAGCGAAGAAGTTGACTGGGGAGAAACTTCTCACAACTTACTGTTTCTCTTAAGGCAAAAATGGAACTGTGACTTAAATGAGAGGCAAAATAACATTTAACTTAACCTGTGAAATTAAACAGCCAATGGGACAATACAAAGCAGAAACTGTACAAAAATTAGGGCACAAGTAGGAACTCAGTTGCGAGAAGATACGTAGTTTACAAGATGGGATCATTATTATCTTCATACATGTTTCTCAACACAAATACCCCTTTCGCAGGGGATATACAGTCAACGCTGCCTAAGCCTTGTCTTGTAAAGAAGTGGTAGATTTGTCTTCCTGGAGTGCCATGCAGAGCGCAGTGGCATGCTGACCAACAGCAAAGCTGCAGAGGCTACATCTCAATCCGCTGGAAGAAACGCAGCCAGCTGCTAAAAATAAAGTGGTGTGGGCTGGTTGTGGCTATTTCTTCCTCAAGGCAAGGAATTCGGAGTGTGCCAGTGCTCTTTTCTCCCTGTCTTATGGAACAGTAAAAGGGAGACATATTGAAGGAGTTGGGGTACAGGTAGCTGGAGGTAAAGATATCAAGATCTAGACATGAAAGGCACAGGCAACATGGTCCTCACCAGCAAGAATAACTTCCAGCTGGCATTTATCTTATTTCCAAGACAGATTGAACATCATCTAAACAGACATTTGAAATACACTTTCCTTCCACTCAAAGTCACCCTTATCCTCAGAAATTACAGAGACTGACTGACATAAACTCTGATTTCGTATAGTGTTTCTTGTAGGAAGTAAAATAAATAAATATGAACGTGTAGATTCCAAGTCAAATTTGACAAAAAGCTAATAGATTAAAAAAATGTGAAAATAGACTGAGTTCACATTTTAGAGTTTTTAGGTGAGGTTCTTGGGGAAGCTCACCTAAACTTCTTTAGCTGAGAAATTTACACTGCCCTACACCCTGTGTGTTTTCAGCATGACTGCCACATTAATCTGGTTTAGGACGTCTGCTCTAACAAACTTGAGATTGTCACTGTAGTAGCAATCTTGCAATGACACTACAATATTTGTAATACAAGCTGATACTTTTGCAGCATTTCATTTATTTTTGCTGTTTGCTAAGTACAGCAATTATCCATTCTGCTTAAGTGCACTTAACAAGTAGAATGGACACTACGACAAAGGTTGTGACTCTGTTAAGCGCTCACTATGAGTTGGATTTTCTGGAAAAAGGTGGAAATATATATGCAAGTCAACAGTGTGCTGACACGAGTTGGCAGAGAGGCTGTGTCAGTACAGTCCTAGCCTTCACCTTGTCTTCCCCCCAGAAACCCCGCTCCGAAAGGGAAAGGGTCTCCTGCTGATCCTGTTATGGCCCAGGATGACCAGTGTCACCACTGTCCTAACACAGATGTGAATGTAACACACAGGACGTTGGCCACTGAGACTTGATGGAAACTCCCTCTGCCTTTGGAATGGGGGCGTGAACCCAGAAAAACCGACACCAAAATGTCACTCTGCTGTTTAGACTGTTAACCGTATCAGCTGTTATCATCCACACACAAGTAATGCAAATATCAGCCTCACCAAATATTTGCATAATTTTTATAACCAGGTGTCTAACAGACAGATGTATCTATTCTGACATCTTTTACTTCTATTCCATTATTTAGTAGCTTTCCATCAAGCACTATTTAAAGCTGATAAACTGACATCTAGAACCTCACGGCTTACAAAAGCAAGTATTTGCTCAATCTTAAAAGATTCTTCTTAAAAACCCCAAACCCAACCATTTTAGTTTCTATTCTGAAATGCCACAGAGTTTTGGTTGAAAGATTCCAGATGAAAGATTGAACTCATTGCCAATTCCTTCAATTAAGAAATACCATACAACTCTGTTCCTGCTTGTCTCTGCAATCCTTACACCATGATTTGCTATTTCTAGTTTTATTCTCTAAACAAGACACATCTCATTCCAGCGGGAAAGCATTTGTTTCAATTTTAAAAACAGCAAAAGACGCTGATGTATTTTTACTCTTAGTTATTACATAACCTGTTGCAAGCCAGATTCATTTATCTTCACTTCTGTGAAGAATGTACCAGTGGTTGCAATTGATCAAAGTCATCATGCAACAGCTCGTCACATGTGAATAGTATAAATTAAGAGTATTATTACATTTTAGTGCATTCTAGTATTCCCAGTTCTAAACTTATCATTGATAATGCAAAACAGAAGAAAAGGTATAAAGAAGAGAAGGTGACATCTTTTCCTCCAGATTTTACTGGAATACTGTGGCTTGAGAGGGTATAGCAGGTCATTATTAAATAACTTTTCCCCTACTATGTTTGGCTAAAGATGCCAAACCACTTGTCCCTGTTTGTCCTTAAATTAAAGCACTCAACAGTTTTATCCGATGTTTTGTTAATGTGCCATTAATGTAGCCAGTTTAATGTGATTACTGATCCTGTTTCAACCCAATTTAACGGCAATTCTCTCACAGATGTGAAAAGGGGAAAAGTAGACCTATATTCAGATGAAAATAATTTTCTGTGAAATGAGTATTTCTGACAGAGCGCTCTCTGAATATCTTTTGGCTAAAATGTAGTTTCTTAATTAAAATATCTTTGCTTAAATAGTTATAGTTACATACAAAAACCTGAGCTCATTTTCTTTCTTTGTATGCAGATTGTGTATAGAGGCAGTGACTATATTAATTAGTTCTCCAGGTGTGTAGGATTTATTGAAATATACTATTCTTATGGGACAGAACCTCACTCATCCTCTAGCTAAGCTGGTCAAAAATTTTTCCAATACACAGGAAATACTGTTCAGAGATAATCAAACCTCTATGTGGGAACATGCCTATTTCATCAGGATTTTTTAAAAAACCAGAGGAATATAAACAGCTTGGTCAGCCGGTATTACAGCTTTTGGTTACCCATCCTCCCTAAGATTATCTACATGATTACGAACTCATCAGTACACTGTCTAGTGAACACAGGAGCTACACAAGGTTACTACCCAAGTTCACAAGTAGGGAGGACAACAGTTTAATTACACTGACACCTTCTCATCTTCAGTTTGGAAGACCTAAGTTAATACTGAAAGAGAGTTTGGCCACTGTTAATAGTCTTTGTGAATTAAATAAGCAGAAAAGGAAGACATGTTGACAACTGATCAAATCAAACTGAATTTCCAAATGTTTTCCACCTTGACAGCTTAGGACTAGATGACTCTGGTGCTGCACCTTCCTCACAATCACTGTGTTAAAAATGGACATTTTTCTTACTTGATTAACACACTATGTGCCCTAAATACATTACCAGAACTTTTCAGCAGGCACCAGACCCGTCATCTTAGACGGTGTACTTTGTCCTACAAAGACAAAACTGCTTATGAAGGTTCTCAGATGAAAGTAAAATACATTTATCTTCACATTTATTTTCTCTGGGAATGGCCAGTAAATCCACATCATGTGAAGTCCCTCTGTTACAGCAGAAGTGGGGGGGACATATCTCTAATTGCTGGTACAGTCACAGTCCT